CACCACATAAGCAAAAAGAAAAAAGCCTGAAGTGGCGCTGTGGCTCAAGTGGTAGAGCGCTAGCCTTGAGCTGAAGAGCTGAGGGACAGTGCCCAGCCCAGAGTTCAGGCCCCACGACCGGACCCAAAAAAAAATATATATATATATACATAGATACACATAGATAGACTATAGATAACTATTCTCTATACAGATATATAGAACTAGATTATATATATATATATATATATATACTGTGTAGCATATACTACATATTATATAATGTATAGTGAATAGTACATAATATATATTACACATATACTAGTAATGTATTACCTATCTATATATGGATATATTTATATGTGATATACACCCATATCTATGTACTATAGTTAAATATATTTATACACCTATACTTTTACTCTAATAAATATTTACATTTAATTGTAATACATATTTACCATAGTAAATATGTAGATGTGTATATATATATATGTATTGAGTTATATATTTATCTATATAGAAATATTCATAGAAGCTGGGTGTTAGTGGCTCACGACTGTCATCCTAGCTACTCAGGAGGCTGAGATTTGAGGATATCGATTCTAGGCCAGCCTGGGCAAGAAAGTTGGTGAGACTCTTTTTTTTTTGTCGGTCGTGGGGCTTGAACTCTGGGCCTGAGCACTGTCCCTCAGCTCTTCAGCTCCAGGCGAGCGCTCTACCACTTGAGCCACAGCACCACTTCTGGTTTTCTGGTGGTTTATTGGAGATAGGAATCTCAAGGTTTTTCCTGTCTGGGCTGGCTTTGAACTGTGATCCTCAGATCTCAGCCTCCTGAGTAGCTAGGATTATAGGGGTGAGCCACCAGCGCCCGGCTTGGTGAGACTCTTCTCTCCAATGAACCCCCAGCAAACCAGAAGTGGGTCTTTGGCTCAAAGTGGCAGAGCTCTGGCCTTGAGCGGAAAAAGCTCAGGGACAGCGCCCAGGCCCTGAGGTCAAACCCCTCGACCAACCACAGCAACAACAAAGAAATCTACGTAGAGCACAGAGCATTACAGGTTTCTGTCTCATGATTATTCTCCAACTACATGGTGTGCCCGTGTCCTTAGCATTCACCCACAGATGATTTACGGTAGGCAGCAGGATGCACATTGTGCCATAAACACACAGTAGATATACCTCTGGAAAGGTCTTGAGTGCCCCCCCCCACCTTGTATCTTTGTATTTTGGGGGGAGTCCTGGGAGCAATCCCCAGTGAACAGTGGGGTGGAATCTGAACCCCGCTACTCTTGGCTATTCAATCCCGACTCTCTCTCCTCCTACAGTGGGTGCTACTGCCCTCTTGTGGCAGACAGGGATGCACACACACCCCAAGGCTTTCCCACACTGGGTCTCCCTCCATCCCTGCAGCATTTAGGTGTGGGCTGGTGGCAGGACAAGAGGCAGAACTGCTCTTGGCAGCGGGAGGAATCGAGGCCTATGTTAGTACCCAGCAGTCGGGACTTGAACTCACAACCTTCCTGACTCCACGGACTCTGAATCACTTGATTCGTTCCCTTCTGTGTCAGGAAGGGGACAGGGTGCCCAGAGGAATTTGAGGGAACAGGACACAGGTGGAGAAGTATTCAATTTATTCTGCAGATACAACAGTTGACCAGGTTCCAAAACAAAACACAACAAAAAAGGATTCCAAGTAAGCCTGGATCTCCAAGTGGTTCACTGGAGATCAGAGTCTCACAGACTTTCCTGCCCAGGCTGGCTTTGAACCGTCATCCTCAGATCTCAGCCTCCTGAGTAGCTGGGATGACAGGCGTGAGCCACCGGCGCCCTGCAGCCTCAGCTTTTTCTATGAAATATGAATAGTCGAAATAATTCCACTACTGTTCCCGTTACAATTCATCCAAACCTGGGGAAGTATGTCATACAAAAGTTCCTCCACCTTCTAACACCTCATTTTCTTAAAAAGATGATTCCGTCTCTTTAAAAAGATAGGGAAAATAGCAATTAACGTTAAAGACTATTGTGTGATCGCCAGAGGCTGGTGGCTCAAGCCCATGTTCCTAGCTACTCGGGAGGTTGATATCTGAGGATCAAGGTTCAAAGCCAGCCTTGGCAAAGAAATCCTAGAGACTTTTTTTATTCTTTGCCAGTCCTGAGTCTTGAACTCAGGGCCTGGGCACTGTCCCTGAGCATTCTTCTTCCTCTTCTTCTTCTTTTTAAATCAAGGCTAGCACTCTTACCACTCATGCCTAGCTTTAGGTCCTGAGCTCTCCCTCCCTCCCGATCTTCCTTCTGTTGTGCCCAAGCTGGCTCCAGGGAGCCTCCAGCCTCAGCCTCCCAAGTAGCTGGGATTACAGGCATGAGCTACCAGCACCTCCCTGGGCCAAATGCCTTCCCGACTGAGTTGTGGTGAGTACCGGTGAGCGGACGCTGAGAAAGTACAAAGCGTGAGGTCACTCCAGGCGTCAGGAGTCTCAGAAGGAAGATCGGGAGGGAGGGAGAGCTCAGGACCTAAAGCTAGGCATGAGCCGAGTTTTCTTTGTAACTTAGAGAACCGCAATCGTCTTTGTTCTAGGTGATGTGGCCTTCCCCCAACATCATACGTTCTCCGCTTGTTGCCTTTTTAACTTGTTTTAGTCCCTCTAAAGATTAAGATACATAAATACACTTCAATCAGCTGAGACATGAAAACCACGAGTTAGAGATTGGTTTGGGCTACA